TGTATTACCAACACTGTTTCCAGCACAAATCCAAAACAGGGCCCCATACAAGCTACTGTGAAGAAAATTAACTCTACCCCAGCCAAAACCAGCACAGACTTACATTGTTAATTGGGAAGGACGAGTCAAAAGTATTGAAGAGTTCTTCTCTCCAAGCCACATTATGGACAGTTTTTCACACAGGAAATGACAAACATGGAAATATGCAGAGCTATTGGGAAAGTAAAAGAATTGTCTCTGTGACTTATCAAGACACACAGTAAATGGAAATGTCTCGATAGGGTCAAAAGGTCACTTTCCTCCAGGGAAAACAGAGAGAGCTGTAGTAGATGTCATATCATTTTACAAACATCAGGGACAATCTCTCCAGTTCCAAAGCAGTAACACCTGGCAGTAATGTATTTTTTTTTCTCTTATCCCTTCTAAAGAGGAAGGAAAGAATCTTTTTGTTCTTAGATCTAAAACATCTCATTGACACTTAGGCCCATGGTTCACCAGGTTGGAATGGCTCACTCCTTCCTGAGAGAGGTTTTATTCCAAATAATGGGAATGAGATTAAATAAAATCTGCCTAAGTGAAGGAAAATTTATCTTTCCACCTTTTTGTCATTTGTAGCCCATTGCCCTTGATTTAAAATGTGGCAAGAGAGCTTGCTTTCAGTTTCTTTTGTAGCTGAAAACGATGACAATGAAAACCAGACTCTTTTCATCTTCTTAGCAGAAGTTTTGCATCTTTCCACAAAAATCTTGGTTATAGGAGGCTTTCCAAGCTAACAGGATCAGAGGCAAACATTCTGTGTGAAAAACGTAGAAAAAGTTAGCCTTCATTCTCTGCCTTCTCCTTATCCTTCTCTGCACTTGATTGGCTTACGCGGCCTAGATTTAGAAATAATAGTCTGTACTTACATTCTTCGAATTGAATTTAAAGTCTCAATGGCATATTGTTGTCTTTAAAACCTTTCTGTATGAAATTCACACAAGCAATGCATGTAAGGTTGCACTCATAGTAGGTTCACTTAATACTTAAAAATTTATATATAAAATGTATATATCCGCTACCCTCTGTGTAGTTGATGGCAGAGGGGAAACCAAAACATAACAAGCTTAAAAATTATTTGGATTTTATTACTTTATGTAATGATGTGAAAGTTATTTTTGTTTAACAATAGTTTTTAGAGTGGAACTTAATGCCATGTATATGTTACGCAAGATATTCTTACTTTAAATTTTTGGATTTTTACATACAGAAAATTGATGCACAAGCTATTGAAGAATTCTACGGGTTGACATCAGACATCTCAAAGAACTCTGAGTCTGGTTACATCCTCTTCTATCAGTCTCGGGATTGAGGGGGAACTGTAGTGAAGAGAGATTTTTATGCCTCACATCTCCTCTATCTTGGAATGGAGCAAGCACTGAAAAAAAGGAAAGCAGGGAGCTCCAGGGGTGGTAGCACAGTTTGCACACAACTAAGCCAAGAGTTTGGGATTCTTAAAACCTTTGTATCGTTTTCATTTTATTTGCTCAGGTATCATGCTGACTACACATCTCCACTGCATCCCATAAGCAAAAAGAGAGATACCAGCCACTCTTGCAGGAGCTTTCCGTTAGGTAATACTATCTCTATGGTCCTAATTCAAAGCCCATTAAGGTCACTGGAGAACCTTTCATGGACTTCAGTGGAATTTGAATCAGGTTCTAACTGCACTGCCAGATTGGTGCAATAGGAGCATTAGAAATCTGTATTTTATACAGACTTCGTGTATAAAAGGTAAAGGACTCTTTGTGAACTTAGTTTCCTGTGCTTAAGTTTAAAAGAATGAGGTTGGGAGGGCTAACATGTAAGCAAGAAGATATATCTGGGCCCAACACAATTGCCTTCTTGATGGTAGTAGTTTAACTGAAGATATAAACTGGAGTCGGGGAGGCAAGTATGTTTTGCTTCTCTGAGGAAGCTTACGTTATTTATAATGTGTGATCGGGAACAATCAGTCAAGATTATGGCTTTTAATCTCCGTATGGGGAAAGATTTGGTTTGTAATAGTTTATTTTTATTTATAAATTATTGTAACTTAGGATCTTGTGTATTGTCCTTTATTCTAACAAGTATTGGAAATTTTATATATTAATTTGAATTAAAACTAGTTAAGTTTAAATGTTAAAGAAGAGCCAATATAAATTCTAAAAACAATGCCTACAATGTCTGTAAAAAATGAGTAACACAGAAGAGAGATTTCCTTCTGGAGGAACTGGTATCTAAGTGAGGTTCTTTATTTAATTAAATTAGAATATCCTCTTTCCATTAATGAGTGGAAAAAAGTGATCAAACTATTACATAGAAGACTTTAAGAATGCATATCGTAAGAAAATGATGGTGCAGTGGTGGTATACTGGTCTTTATAGTTCTTTAATAATTTGTTAATGTTTCATGCTCTAAGCAAATTTGGATCAAAGTAAACCATTTTCAGAATGTTATTCCCTCTCCTAAAAATGGATCCACTTGTGTTCCCAGTGGCATGGGTGACTATCTTAAAAACCACTCAAGGTCTCAAGTATAAATTGTGTCTGAGTAATAAAAAGAAATAGGCTTGGAATTTCATGAGACTGAAGATACCACATTCCTTTAAGAGTAGTAATACTTAAGTCCTGTAGGGTGAAAATTTCTGAAACTAAGTAGTTTACCTTGCTTTAGGTTTATGAAACAGCATTAAGAATTAAATCTTGACAAAACACCTGATCTGCAAGAAATGTGAACTATTGTGATTTGACATTCTTCCACTTACCAGTACGTTGTTTGACAGTGGCTGAATGTAATTTCTGGAAAGTCATGGGATGTGCATTCCAGATTCTGGCAATCAGGTCTTGGATGTCCTTGTCGCTCCCTCTTCAGCTAGTGACTTTTACATTATTGTAATTTTCTAAGGTTATTTTATTGATACTGTTACAACTTTTAAAAAGAATGTCTCCTGTCTGCTGCTATAACTATTTACTTACCTGTATCTTTTAGCTCAGGAAATGACTTCACCTATTCACTCAGTTGAACAAGTCTTTAACAGGGTCACTCAATAAATTGGGCTATTTAGCAACTGTCATACTGTAACAAATTCCTTTTGTAAAATGCAAAGTTTCTAAAGCCTTGGTTTGGCTAGAATTCTTTTATAGAAAATTCTGTATCACGATTAAACTACCAGCATTATAAAGTAAAGCTTAAATATTGTGGGAGATGCAGAAAATGTGATTGGATTTTTCTTAAAGGATTCAAATAATTTTAAAACCCTTTTTCAGCTT